CTTACTATGTGCACTATGAAGAACATGGAATCAGCCTTTCTTCTAGAAAGTTTGGATAGCATTGTCATCCAAGGTTACCTCTTGGATAGGTGTGAGAGAGTGCTTGATGGACAGGCAGTTGTAAAATTCATTCAGAAAATTTTCTCACACAATTTCTTTGAGCTAATTTGTTTGTATTCTTTCTACACCTTCTTTTTACAGAATCACATCAATCCAGCCATGGATTTTACTCAGACTCCTCCAGGGATGTTGGCATTGGACAACATGCTCTACTTGGCTAAATTTCATCAGGACACCTATATCAGGGTGAGTGAAGCTGCTGCTTTTTACAGATACCAACAGCTCAGCAGCTCTTCTTAGTGTGTGTGGCACCTTCTTCTTGTAGATTGTTCTGGAGAACAGCAGTCGAGAAGATAAACACGAGTGTCCCTTTGGGCGCAGTGCCATTGAACTCACCAGGATGCTTTGTGAGATCTTGCAGGTTGGGGAACTCCGTGAGTACCATTTATTTCCCAGCTTTACAGATTGCTGGGCTGATGCTTCTGGAAGTAGCTTACAGGCTGCCCAGTATTCACAAGCATTTGAACCTTGATCTCACATCTGTCCTGTAGGGACAGGGGCAGCTTGTTGGTGTCCCAGTGTTAAAATAAAGTAAGAAATTTGGTGTGTGTGTTCTCTGGTTCTCCTGAAAAAGTGACACGAGCAGAAAGTTTCAACTTCCTAAGCTTCAGCAAGGTGCTGTATAAAAAAAAATAGTCTAGAAACCATCATGAACTTGAGAGAAGTTTATTAGTGCTGACAATCTCAACACAGTATTCTAAGAAAATTAACCACTGTAAGAAATTCTGCCAGAGGAAAGTGGGAAATACTGCAAGCAGTCATTTTTGGGGACTAGGATGAAAAGGGCACATGAGTCACAGAGGTTTGCATGGTGAAGCGTGGAGATAGTTGCTGTTCCCAATAAACTGTCTTAATCTCTTGGAGTAGGTACTATTGTGCACCATCAGGTGTCTGTCTGTCACTGTAGTGGATTTCAGGTACGTTTTGTACAATATGCTCACATGGTTGTGGTTTGTTTCTCTCTGAAGCCAATGAAGGCCGGAATGACTATCACCCCATGTTTTTCACCCATGACCGTGCGTTTGAGGAACTGTTTGCCATCTGCATCCAGCTGTTGAACAAGACCTGGAAAGAAATGAGGGCGACAGCAGAAGATTTTAATAAGGTCAGGGTGGTGAAGAGATATTCATTTGTAGTTTTTCTTGATCTTCAAAGTCACTAGTATGTTGATACTCCTGGCCCCACTTATCCCACATCAGTTCTGTGTGCCCTGGTTCTATGATGCCAGTAAGCAGCAAGAATGTGACTTGCTCTTCTCTCTTCCCCACCTCTTTAGGTTATGCAGGTTGTGAGGGAACAGATCACACGGGCTCTCCCTTCTAAACCAAACTCCTTGGACCAGTTCAAGAGCAAGCTGCGCAGCCTGAGCTATTCAGAGATCCTGCGGCTACGCCAGTCTGAGAGAATGAGCCAAGATGACTTCCAGTCACCCCCTATTGTGTACGTGCCTGACAAAAACACTGCCTTCTGTGCTTGCTCTTATCGCCACTTTCTGCTTACTCTTCTGTATTTGATTGCCAGGGAGCTGAGGGAGAAAATCCAACCTGAGATCCTGGAGCTGATAAAGCAACAGCGCCTGAACAGGCTTTGTGAGGGAAGCAGCTTTCGAAAAATTGGAAATCGCAGAAGACAAGGTAAGGGGACAGTGTCTACTGCATTTTTCTCATGTGAAGAACTATAGCAAATAAGATCTAATGAACTAATCTGCCAGCAGGCATGTTGCTGAAAGAGAGGCTGATTATCTGGGCTATCCATATCAGCCAGTAGTTTGGGATGGCACAGATGTGCATTTCTAAGAATCCCTCATGAACAAGAAGCTGTGCTGAGGAGCTGGGGGAGCAGATGGATTGGGTGGAGAGGCTCTAATGTTAGTGGCTGTAAGGTTTCCTGTGAATTATCTTGCTCAGCTTACTCTGCTTGGTGTGTGTTCCAGAAAGATTCTGGTATTGTCGCCTGGCTCTGAATCACAAGGTGCTACACTATGGAGATCTGGAAGATAATGCCCAGGGGGAAGTGACCTTTGAATCTCTACAGGAAAAAAGTAAGTCCTGATTACAGGCTGTGCACTGTTCTGTGCTCTGCTGTCTAGAGGCTGAGTATAATCCTAGATAAAGATGAAAGAGCTGTGGCTGAAACCCTGACTGAGGTGATACCAACTTTCAGTACTTCCCAAATTCTTCAAGTCTTGGAATTGCTTGGTGTTTCTTTTTAACAGCCAGCTGTTGGGGTCTTACTGGTAATGTGTTTTGGAAAACTGCAGGAAAGAGACAGAAAAACAAACAATGCTCAGTTTGCAAAGACAAAACAAAGTTCTGTTTCTTCCTGGTTAGGATTGCTTGTTTGGGAGTTTTACTTTTTCACTGTTAGTTCCAGTTGCAGACATCAAAGCCATTGTCACAGGGAAGGATTGTCCACACATGAAGGAGAAAAGTGCACTGAAACAGAACAAGGCAAGTGCTCCCTTTTTACCTGTCATTAGTATCTATTTCTGTAGCACTGAAGTCTGAAAAGAGAGGAAGAGGAGCAAATGGTCTCCCCACAATGCAGATGTGTTGTTTCCAAACCCCATCTCCTATCTGGGCCTTTTCCTAGTATTCCTTTGTGACTCCTGGGAGCTGTGGGCACTGTGTGGTTGTGCTATAGTCTATTCAGAATTGTTCACCAATGTGGGAAAGTGTACTGAGCTGCAGTAAGGCAGCTCCTCTCAGGTTGGCAGGCAGAAGGTGCTGTAACGTTTTGTTCAGCTGGTGACTGAAAGATTCTTTTCCATTCAGGAAGTGTTAGAATTGGCCTTCTCCATATTATACGATCCTGATGAGACCCTGAACTTCATTGCACCTAATAAATATGAGGTAAGAAACACAGTGATCAAGCAGTAGAATATATAGCAATTAGCTTCAGAGATTAAGAAGAATCAGTTGCTTCTCATTAAAGACTTGAACAGGCTGTCTCCCACCAGGTTCATTCTTAGAATATGTTGGCGATGCTTAATGTGAATCATTTTTTTTGTAGTTACTTTTTTCATTTAAAAAGAAAAAAATAATCCCACATTAATTTCCCCTAATCTTCACTGCTACTTTCTTTCCTCCTATGATGCCTAGAATAGGTTTGCTTTTTCTTGTGTTATACCACAACAGAAACTCTTGGCCCTCTCCTACAGCCATGAGGTCACACTTAACCTCTAGGCTTGTAACTTCCACTGGAAATCTGTGGGCCCTGTTTTCAGGTTGGATATGGGGGGTTTTTTCCTATTTTGAAGCTATGTAGGAGCATCTCTAATTGTTGCATGGATGGAAAGGTTCAACATAACCTCTCATTTATGCCCTCGTGGAGTCGTGAATTCCCCTTTCTTTTCCACAGTACTGTATCTGGATTGATGGGCTTAACGCTCTCTTGGGGAAGGACATGTCCAGCGAGCTGACCAAGAGCGACCTGGACACGCTGCTGAGCATGGAAATGAAGCTGAGGCTCCTGGACTTGGAGAACATCCAGATCCCCGAAGCGCCGCCGCCG